ATTTTATAAGAGATTTGTATAAAAGATGCGTCTTTATGAAGGGAAATATCAGAAAAGTAAAGTGGATGGAATCAGAGAATCCACTCACCATCTTGAACAGAAAACCAACACTAGATTTTTTTCTTTTTGGTACATAAGAAGCTAGATAAAGCTAAATCCTGAGGAATAGAGTTCCTATGCTATCCCCATGGAGGATGCCACTGATATCTGGTGGTGGAGTTGGAAAGAAGGTGGTGCTGTGGTTGAGATCTTGTCCGATAGATGCCATGAAATCTGCTGCTGTGTTTCCTTCCCTCAACGTGTGTTGAACTATGCAAACCTCAAAGGAGTTCACCAAATGAAAAATGTCCAACAATAGCACTGAAGTTTGGCCATCTCCGGCCTTCCTCGCCTGTATCATCTGTACAGTGAAGAGCGAGTCCATTTCCAAAACCAAGTGAGTAATACCCAGCTCGAGAACTAGCTGAAGGCCAATCTGACATCCCCAAAGCTCTGCCATGTAGGTAGTTTGTGGCCCAATGTTAATAGCAAAACCATGAATCCATCGACCGCCATGATCCCGAATGAGTCCACCTGCACTAGCTCTCCCTGAGGAATGGTTCAGTGCCCCATCCGTATTCAGCTTGAGAAAAGGGAAATCAGGTGGGAACCACCTTATCCATCGGTAGGCGAGGGTGAGTTAGAATATTGGATGCCAAAGCCAAACGTGTATCTGTTGCTAGGGAGCAAGCTTGTTGGAACAGAACATGTGGAGGCGTCCTTTTATTGTTGAAGATGAGTGCATTCCTACTTTTCCAGATCACCCAAATAGCAGATAAGAAGAGAGTAGACCAATTAGAAGAAGGGGCACCATTGGACGTTGAAGCTTGTGCATTCCTCTTTAACCATTCTTCAAAATTTAGCATGAAAAAATCAATGGGAAGCACAGTGTAGGTCTCCTAAATCAAACGAGAGTGATAGCAATCACGCAAAAGGTGAAGAGGAGTCTCTGGGCCCTGTTCACATCTCGGGCACACGGGAGTTGCTGCAAAATGTCTTTGGAATCTTACACTGTTTGTGAGCACTCTGTTTTTCTGGAGGAGCCAAACAAACAACCTGATTCTCTCTATACACTATAACTTCCATATCCACCTCCAGTTCTCCTCACGTTGAGTTGGGTTAACATGTTGTTGCTGCAACAAATAGAAGGTGGATTTGACAGTGAAGGTACCATCTGGGGAGCCATTCCAGAAAATTTTATCCGTTTGCTGTCCAAACACTAGAATTGGAGTTGCCAAAATCTGATCAACTACATTTTGAGGAAGAAGATTTCCAAGCCAACTCTCGTTCCAGTCTCCAGACGGGGTTATGGCCTGCGAGATAAGGGCGTCCATAAAATCAGGTGGAACAGGGGAAAGAGCTGTCTCACACAAAGGCTTATCACTCACTCAAATGTCCTTCCAAAATTTAATTTGTTGGCCATCCCCAACTCTCCACCGCAATCCTAATTGCAATATGTCTCTACACTTCAATATACTCTTCCATGTAGCTGAAGCTGTCACAGAGGTGGGGCAATGCATCACAGACCCACTTTTTAGGTACTTTGCCAAGAGAGCTCCACACCAAGGTTTATTTGGATTAGAGATTAATTGCCAGCCCAGTTTTGTGACCAACGCTTGGTTATTTTCCTTGGCTGAGCGTAAACCCAACCCACCAAGATCTCGTGATCGGCACCCTGTCACCCAACTGACAAGGTGTGGTTTATTAGCAATATCAGAGCCCCAAAGAAACTTCCTATTCATACTATCAATGGCTGTACAAATACCATTTGGCAATAGAATGGACTGCATTATATATGAAGGGATTGCAGAAGTTACAACCTGGACTAGAACCCTTCTCCTCGCCATGCTTAACAAATTTGTTTCCAGCCAGCCAATTTAACTTGAATTTTTTCCAAAATATGCTTGTAGGTAGAGACTAAAGCTCGCCCATGCAAGATTGGAACTCCCAAGTAGCTTTCTAAGTCCCTTGTTAGAGGGATACCACAAACTTCACTTAAAGCTCTAGCCACATGCCATTGTATATTTGGGGAAACATGTAATTTGGACTTATTTAAGTTGATCTCCAGCCCTGATTCCTTTGAGAATTCAGTAAGACAATTCATGACTACTTGAACTTGCTAAGATGAAGCTTCGCAAAAAAGCATGAGGTCATCTACAAAAAACAGATGTGATAGAGCAAGCCCCCCTCTAGATATTCAGAATGGTTTCCATACCCTGGATTGCACTTTGCTTTGTATCCTGTGGGATAGTTTTTCCATGCACATGATGAACAAACAAGGGGAAAGCGGGTCCCCTTGCCTTAGGCCTCGTTGAGGATTAAAAGGTGGTAATGTTTCCCCATTCCAAAGGACTGAAAGTTGCAAAGAAGTTATTAAGAACATAATCAGTCGTATCAAAGGAGCTGGGATATTGAAATCTTGTAGCACAGTTTGGAGGAACGTCCAATCAACACTATCAAAAGCTTTATGAAGATCAATTTTAAAAATCATAGCGCCCTTTCTACCTTTCATTCGACGCATTGAGTGCACAGCTTCTTGACTCAAAATAATATTATCTGTAGTGCTTCATGCTAGAAAACTGTTCTGAAATGGCCCAATTAGTTGTTGGAGAAAGGGTCGTAGCCTATTCACAAGTACTTTGGAGAGCACTTTGTAGGCAACATTGAGCAAACAAATTGGATGAAATTTTTGAAGGATGTCAAGGTTGTCTCCTTTTGGGATTAAGTCAATATGTGCCTGTAATAATGAAAGTTCAAAATAACCATCACTCAGTGCACCATTAATGAAAGACAATAGGGTACCTGAAACTTCCTCCCAATGCTTTTGATAGAAAATTGGTTGAATTCCATCTGGTCCTAGGCTCTTTAAACCTTTCATAGAGAATAAGGCGCCTTTTACTTCCTCCAGTGACACCAGCCTTAACAAGGACTAACCATCCTCATTTGTTAGCCGTGGTTGATAAATAGAGCTGTCGCTACTAGTGGGTTGAGTGTCTTTTCGAGAAAACAGCTCTATTAAAAACCCATTTATGTGTGATTTTAACACAGAAGGCTCCCTTACCCAGTTACCATCAATCTTCAGAGCTGAGATCCGATTTCAACTCCGTCGAACTACTGTGGATGCATGGTAGAAAGCCGTGTTTCTATCGCCAAAAGCCATCCACTCTACTCGTGATTTTTGGCACCAAGATAGCTCTTCTGCAGGCAAAATTTGGTGGTACCCATTTAGTAACTCTGCTTCCAAGTCTTGCAAAAAACTAAAAGTAGGAAAATGCTCAGAATTTTGAATGCCTTCCAACCTACCTCGCAACTGTCTTTTTCGATGGAATAAATTACCAAATACTTCCTTATTCCATTTCAAGCATGCCCCCTGAACTGACTTAATGGCAGCGGTTATTGATGACCTGTGTGAAGCCCATGCACTTGTGAAAGTCGGTTTAAAATCTTCATGAGTTAACCATGCAACCTCAAATTGGATAGGTTTGGAGATCCTGTCTCTTTGCAAAGATGCTTCTAAGCAGAGCAACATAGGATGGTGGTCACTGCAAAGCCGGGGGAGGTTAATCACTTTGGTGTTAGGGAAAGCTTCAAGTGCCAGCATATTGAAGAGAGCCCTATCTAATCGTTCCCTTAACAGGACTCTCCCATTTTGTTTACGCAGCCAAGTGTACTTACACCCCAAAGGTTCTGTAGAGTGTAGTCCACAACTTAAGAGCCTATCTCTGAAACGCTAAGCTTTCACAAAACGCTTTGTGGCCTTTGGGGATGCCTCGTCAACTGAGAGTATATCGTTGAAATCTCCCATTACCACCCAATTAGCCGAAACCTGATGAGAAATATCACAAAGCTGTTCCCAACATAAGTCCTTCATAGCCATATGAGGTTGTATATAGACAAAAGTTACCAAGCAAACCACTTGTTGTTGAGCTAAAGAACAATGAATGAATTGTGAAGAATTGTGCAAGATCTCCAATCTCACAATATTGGAGCACCAAAACAACCAAAGACCACCTACTCGCCCTTGAGAGGGAACTTGATAATCCTTATCGAACCCGAATCTTCGCAGAAACTTAAGTGCATTAGTGGCTGAGTCCGTCTTAGTTTAAGGGAAGCAGATAACGTCTAGACAATTCATCTTAATCAATTCTTGACACTCTCTTCTAAAAGGGCCATGCCGAACCCCCCTGCTATTTCATGTCACGATCTTCATTGAGAGGGTGCAAAGGGTGTGGCAACTGAATCCTGGATTGCAACCAGAGGAGGCACTTGTCTAGTTAGCTGTGATGTATGATTAGCCACTAGATTTTGGTTTGGCCTCAATGTCGAGGATGGATTCCCTATGTCGGACAAGTTTGGAGTGGATGGAGTCTCAAGGAGACTCGTTGAGGCAACTTGGATTGAAGGCAGCATCTGTAATGTAGTGGCAGCTTGTTGCATCGGCAGTGGTGTAGTAGGTATAGCTTGTTCGATGGAAACATTAGAAGAACTTCCTGCTGATGGTAGAGTGGATGGTGACACGAGGGAGGAGTCAGATTGCTTCATAGATACTGCCGGTGGGTCGTAAGGCTTTGGAGCACTAGTTTTGCTTTCTTTAGGAATTGGGCCTAGTGTCTTGGTCTTCCTTTTAGACGACTTTGATTTAGGTTTCACAAAGGAACTATCTGGGGTTGGCGTCGATTTACTAACCTCTTGGTGGGTTGGGCCAGACAGCTGGGCTTCAAAGACTGGGGAATGGGTGATGTCCATTGCAAGTGAGTCTCCAATTGAATTTCTGGAGTTTCTTGCCTCTATCACTTCCTTCCCTTTAATTGCTCCTACGAGATTAGTTTCCTCATCCATCAAATCCCCCATAATTGCAAAACGATTCTGTTGCGACGATTTTGCCCCATTACCATTCTCCACTCCCCCTAATTTCGCCATGATTCTCGAGATAGCTTGTGAAGAGGCCGAAACTTTAGTGGGCTGATCAAGCTTCCTGTTTCTTGTCAGCTCCTAGTTATGCACCACCGGATTCTGCTGTCGTGATTTACGTTGCTGCACCATCCATAGGCCAAAAACCATGTTGTTCTCAACCATATTCGGCTTTAAAGCTTGGGTGAGTTTGATCATTGCTTGGGCATTTGGATTCCCTGTGGAGATTGTCTTTCCTGGATGCTTGTAATGACAATAGTCTTCTGTGTGACCAAATTCTCCACAATGAAAAGAAATCCTGTGTAAGCCTTCATACTCTACCAAAACCATGGTTTAAGGTAGATCCTCCAGATCCAGGTCGAGTGTTGATGGTAGCTTCTGACTGAGGTCAACTTCCACACAAACTCTAGCGAATTTCTCCCTCGTGCCCAACAGGGTAATACTATCCACTTTGATTGGCTTGCCCAATTTACTGGTGAGGTACAGGACAATGGCTTCATGAAAACACATTGATGGCACGCCATGCAACTTAACCCAAACTACAGTCTTCGGGGCTTTCGCTCTCGCCGAATAGAAGCTTGGTTCCCATGGCTGGACGGCCAAGTAGTGGTCAAAAAATTTATATGGGCCTCCTATGAAGATTCTGGAGCAGCCTTCCGGCGTGGCAAATCATACAATGAAGTATACCATATCAACATCGATGACCTCATATTCTTGTTATGTTCTCCATTCTTTCAATAATCTAGCATGTAGAATGCGAAAATTGATTGATTTCCCCAAAAGCTTTATAATAACTGTATTCTTCCATGGTACACATAAGCACTGCCAAATAGCCTCGGGGATTTTCACTTTAGGAACCTTTACTTGTGGTGGATTTGCCCCATCGTCAGCCATAGGAGGAAAGCAAAAAATGAAGGAAAATCTTCATAATTAAAATTAAGAGAGGAATTTATCTATTTAATTAGTAAAAATT